TTTAATTAAGAAAATTATTAGTAATTATACTAAAAAATTTCAAAGATAGCTTTTACAAAGTAAGTTTAGTAACAGGTGAATTTTTCTATTAAACTTAATAAAATAACTCTGCAGTTTCAGTTTTACTAAGAAAACTTAATAATAACCGGCATCGTGGCTTCAGTTTTACTAAGAAAACTTAGTAATAACCACCATTATGATTTCAGTTTTACTAAATAATAACTGCTATTTCAGCTTCGTAACAATTTTATTAGTAAAAAAACGTTTCCAAAGTCACGAACGTATTTTTATTAGGTTTCTTAGTAAAAAACATCTTTGAAACTACAAAGGCATTTTTACTATATTTTTCTTAGTAAAAAAGGCATTTCCGAAGCTGTGAAGGCACTTTTTGATATGGTTTTCTTAGTAAAAGGTATTTCTGAAGCTACAGAGGCGAGTTTTGCTATACCTTTCTAAGTAAAAAGGCATTTCTGAAGTCATGAAGACATTTTTTGCTATGGTTTTCTTAGTAAAAAAGGCATTTTCGAAGCTGTGGAGTCACTTTTTACTATAGTTTTCTTAGTAAGAGCCACTCCTAAAACTTTGGAGATGACTTTACTATTGATTCAAATCAAATCAAATATTTGAATACTTGATTTGAATTTAATCAAATCAAATCAAACATTAATTTGGATTTAATAAAATAAATCATTCTTTGATTAAATTTGATTGAATCAAATCAAATTGTGGAACCCTAATGTTGATAATATTTTGTGAATATATGCACAATAGAGAACAGTATTAAATCCTTGGCAGAAACTATTAGGATAGCATAAAATACTAACTTAAAATAAAATAAAGATAATTTATAAGTAAAAAATTACCAATTCACCTTTTGTTATTATTAATTGCAATTGCATTATCAATTTAGAAATTACAAGAATTAGTTAAAGACAAGGTGGATTGGAATTTAAAAAATTAGTAGGAAGACTTTAGCTATAAATAGGAAAATATGTTTCTGTTTTAACTCTTTATTGATCATTAGTTTACTGTAAAATTAATAGAAAAACAAATACAAATTTATTATTCCTTTATAGTTATCTTTTTATCATAACTTATTTTTATTATTTATATACAACTATATCAACAATATCAAGTAGCTTATAAATAAAATGAATTTTTTAGAAGTATATTTATAGCAAAAATTAGTTGTATGTATAAGCTTAAATAGCTTATATTTATGGATGTAGTTTCTAAAGATAAACAGATTCTGTCTCATAAATATGATTACTTTTAAAAATACTTATACAATTAAAAAAATATAATTATACATAAAATATGATATATAATATTTATTATTTGATTACTTGATCACATTTTTATTAAAAATTTTTTTTCAATAAAATTATAGTGATTAGTAAAATGATTGATATTGTAATGAAATAAAAAGCATGCTATGCTTCTTATTTATAAGGAATTATAAATGATCTATATTATTATTATATAAATATGATATAAATAATTAGGATAATATGTATAATTATGATGACTAATATGTTATAAATGTCTTCTATATCTTTTATATCATATAGTTTTATATTATTTTATATTTCTTATATGTTTTTAAATACTCTATACAGTTAAACTTTGATATAGCGAACCCTTGATATAGCGAATTTTTAAATCAAATATATTAAAATTACCTTTACTATAGTGAACTAGCCAATTAAATTCTTTAAAAAATTTGTTATAAGCTTATAATGAAGTTGATATGCAGATCCTAGAATTCGTTATATCAAGAGTTCACTGTATAATTATTTTTATATAAGTATGCTTTAAGTTTTAGGATAATAAAAAGTATTTTAGAATAAGTTTTAGATTAGATAATATCAAATAGTTTACTTTGATATTAACCATTTGTATAATATAGAATGTTAACAGAAATAATATTCATTTGTAAATACATATCTAATAAATAATCATCTATTTAACTTAATATATAGAAGCTTATCAATAGAAAAGAAGAAAATCTAAAAATGATTAAAGTTTTAGTTTTTATGTTAAATATGATTTTTTTAGTAAAATAAGTTCAGATTTAACATTAACTCATAAAAACTTTTTTTTAAAAATTTCTTTCCTTTTTATTCATAGAATTAATCTACTTATAAAACTTATATTTTTTACTTATCATTACCTTTAAAGATAAGAACTATAATTAAAACATTATAACTTTTTTACAACTAATTTTAGCTTACATTGCAACAAATTATAAATTTGCTATATTGTATTTAATTACTTATTTTATATATTCTAAATAATATAAAAATAATTATAATACTATTTCTATTTATTTTAATTTCTTTTTCTATTTTTTTTTTATAATCTTTTTTTCAGTTTTCAATTTTTATTACTTTTTTTTTCTGTTCCTATTTTCTTTTCATAAACTTTTTTATTATAATTTTTTTTATAACCTTATATTACTTTATGTTATATATATATTATATAAATTCTATATGATTCAGTTAATTCTTTTAAATTAATGTGTATTTTATATAACCTTTCTATATATTTATATGAATTCTTCAATTCTTATATTATATTATTTTTTTTTGTTTTTTTATAAGACTTTTCATTCAATTTATTAATTATTTATCTTGTTGTCTCTCAGTTCAGTTTAATAATTATTTTTTCTTTTAGTAACTAATTTATTTTTATTCATTTAGTCTATACTTTATTCTTCTTAATAAAATCATATTTTGTTTATATCATGTGATTTCACTTAATATATTTGTTATATGCTTGTTGATTATTATTAATTATATTGCTGTATAAATTATTGATTCTATATTATATAATAGTTAGATTTAATCAGTATTTATAATATATATATATATTTTTTTTTATTTGTTTTTTAATTTTTTTTTGAATATTTGGTTAGTTTTATTTGATTAAAGTTCTTAAATAACATAAAATCTACTAAATAAAGTAAATAAAGTAAAAGAACTCAAAAAATATTTTATAAACCAATTATATTTTAATTTAATTTTTTTTTATGAATATTTGGTTTATATGATTAAACTTCTTAAATAACATAAAATCTACTAAATAAAGTAAATAAAGTAAAAGAACTCAAAAAATATTTTATAAAAAATTTATTAATAATTATTATAATGGATTTTATATAAGTTATATAATATTTCTTAATGTATATGTATACTAACTATATAAAAATATTGCATTATAATTTTTTTATAATATTAGATTAAAGTGCAATAAAAAGTGAATTTAGTCAAAAAATTCTCAGAACATCATTTTCCTAGCAAATCTCCTATGAATTATTCTCGTGTCCAAATTTTGGTGTAAAATCTCCTACGTTGACATTAAGTATAATCATTCTAGAAGGATTCAGCAAAATCGTAATTGAAAAAAACAATTGAAAATTAAAAAATTATATTAAAAATAAAATAATTTTAATTAATATAAAGAAATATTTTAATCTTACCATTTATATTATCATTATTATTCATTATACTATTACGTACATTATTAAAATGGACCTTTAAATAAATTATCACATATATAAATGAGATGGACATTTTATTTACATATACATATCATGATCAAATAAATTTTTTAAAAAAATATGTAAATGATTTTTTTATTTAAAAATAGTGTATATATACAATTTAATAAATGAGTAACTATGTTACTAATCCGGTACAGGCTCTCATAAATGGTATATAAAAAGGTATAAATATATATATTACATAAATAACAATACTCCTACATACCAACCAAATAATATATACAAAGAAAATTTAATCCATCCCCCTTTCAAGATTAACATCCGATTTCAAATAATATCAAATATCTAGGTAGCGTAGCCTAGAAAATCAAATCAAATGAGATTAAATTAACGTCAATTGAAAAAAATTTTTTGAATCCGTTCAGAATATTACATACCTCATCTTTATCAACGATGATAATATCACTAGAATTATAAGAAACAACATCGACAACAAACATGGCCAATAAAGAACTTTTGGAAGCAAAAGGTGTACAATTAAATATGGTTCTGGAAGTTGATAAATTACAATATCCCAGTGAAATAGCCGAACTATTAGCAAACCACATTCCTAATGAAAATGATCGAAAAATAGGGTTAGCATCTAAATTCTCCCATCTTTATTATTGCCCTTCCTCCTTTGATACTTACTTCCATTAAATCTACTATATTTTCTTTGATTGCCATTTTGTAATATACCGCACATACCACAGTTAAACATGCAATAACTATTATGTCCATTAATGAGCCGTTTAGGATTACAACTAATTTTGGTACCATGAAACATTCTATTAGTAAACATATCCAAACTGTCATCTTGTGTTGTCGATAAATTATTTAATAATAAATTATGTTTATATCGTGCATGAGCATTAATTAATTTAGTAGGCATTTGTAATTGAATTATAGAATGTATATTAGCGTGAGGTAAGCCATTATAAAAATAATCCCGTATTTGGTTATATTCTGCATCTCCCTCGAAAAGAACTTTTAATTTAGTTTTTGATAATACGCATTTATTGGTTGGATCGGACGCGGGGGAGGAAGGAATTGATGTCGGAATAGAAAAATTACTTAATAACTGTGGTTGTGGTTGCGATTGCGGTATTGCTTGTAGATGTGATGTAGATTGTAATCGTTTTAATTTTGGTTGTTTCGATCGTTGTTGTAATAATTTTTGTTGTAATTGTAAATTTTGTAGTTTATTTCTACGTAGTAGTGCATGTAGTGCATGTGGTCGTAATTGTCGTTTAGGTTGTAACGGCGGTTGTTGCACTTGCGATTGTTGCACTTGTGATTGAATTTGTTGTTGTTGTTGCATTTGCAGTTGAACATTTTGTTGCATTTGCAAATGTTGTACCAGCTGTTCTTGCGTTTGTGGTTGGAATGGAAATTGTGGTTGTAACTGTCGTTGAAATTGTTGTTTATTTGGTGGTCGTAACTGTCGTTGAATTTGTAATTGTAATATTTGCAGTTGTTCTAAATGTTGTTGTATTAGTGGTTGGGAAGGATGCGAATGAAGTCGAGGAAATGGCAATTGTTGTTGAATAGGTGGTTGTGGTTTTGGTTGTGGTGGTGGTTGTGATTGTTGTTGTATTTGATGTTGTAACTGCTGTTGTATTTGCGGTTGGGATGGAAGTGAATGAGGTTGATGAACTGGTTCGTTAAAATCGTCGTTTAGATAAGGAATATTTAACTCTTGTGTTGATAATGGATTATGGCAAAATATGCACATAATAGATCTAGAATCATTTAATAACGAACAAGTCGAGCATGTTGTCATTATAATAAATTCTGATGTATGATCAAAACTCAATGGTTGTTGTGGTTGAACAGTTCTATCGGGACCGCTATTATTTAAGGCAAAATAATTTTGCTGATTATTAATATTCTGTATTAAACCATGATTATGAAAATCATTTGAGTATTGCAAACCATTATCATTGTTATCCACGCAGGTATTACAATGATTATTATCATTATTATTATTATTATTATTATTATTATTATTGCTGTTGTAATCACTTAAATCAGAGTACAACCCCAAATTAAAACTCGTTGGATTTTGTGAGGAAGAGAAATAATCTACGATATTGGTTTGATTTGAAGGTAAGATCTCTGAATAATCGTTCTGATTTAATGGCGAAGTAGCGAAATTTGTCATTGCCGTTGTCATTGCCGTCGCTGTTGCCGGTAATGTTGTTGTTGTTGTTGTTGTTGTTGTTGTTGTTGAATTTCCATCAGATTTATTTTGACGAGTGAAATAATTCCAAGATTTAATCCTCTCAATCCTTTGCTGTTGTTGCGTTGGTTGCCACTTGATTATACATGGGCTACCCCTCTTTTGTTTCTTCTGATCACCTAATCTGACCGTACCATTATCATTCTCCCTTTTTGTCGCACCGAAATTCGTGAAATTGATACCGCTAAACCTATTACCGGCATTCATCCCACTTAATTCGTTATTTCCTCCAAGGTTCAATTGACTTTCCTCACCCAATCCGCAGTCATCATTAATTGAATCAGTCAAGGTAGAAGGTTGAGACCAATCATTTAATTGACACATCATGCTACAATAACCCATGGTTTTACTATCGTCAATGATCAAACGATTGTTACATCCCGATTTCTTACATATTGAGAATTGCAAAGTGTTCCTTCTTTGATTGTTATAAGAAGTTTTAAAAGATTTAATCTTATCAAATAATGTGGTAGAAGTTGTAGAAGAGGGGATTGGAATGGTGGGAGACAATAAGGAGGATGGTGGTGATGATAACGGTGTGACGGTCGTAATGTGTGGATTATTAGTAGAGGATAAGTAGGAAGAATTTGTTGAAGAATTTGGTGGAATATCTAAGTAGTTGATTGAAACAAAATCATCATTATACATTCCTGTATATTCCATTATTATATTTTTTTCTCGAAATTCCGACGAGAAAAAAAGAACCCCTCCTACTGTTACGTTGTTTACAAAAGGTCGAAGGGGATGAATGGGGAAGGAAAAAAAATAAAAATAAAAATAAGTCAGAGATAAAATAAAAGAAATCCTTTTAATAAAAAAAAAACGAAAAAGAAGAAAAAAAAAAAAAGAAAAAAAAAAAGAAAAAAAAACCCCCCAATTTATATATATCAAAAAAAGTTGATCAGATAACGGACGAATTTTTTCATGCATACCTTAAAAGTTAGTCGTGTCCTACAACTAAAATTTTTTTTTTTTTTTCCCTTTGAAACAACTTATATAAGTGATTAATAAATTGCTTTTTGGGAGCAAAATAATTTTAAGTGTATGGTACAAGGTACAAAATCAGCGTGCGAATCTATCTCTATTCCATTTCACGTTACCGGAGGGATTACCGATCACGCAGGATTTTTTTTTTGTCACCCAAAAGATTTTTGAAGTATCAAATTATATTTGAGTTATCAGATTTCGGAAATTTCCCTCGCATAGTGCAAAATGATTTCTTTCTGAAAGGCTGGTTGTTTTTGTGTTACAAGAATTACAACAAAGAAATGATATGGCCATTTCATGCATTCTTTTTTTTTTTAGTAGCATCTCTTTTAACAAAGACCTCTCTTGAATACTTCAAATTTTCACCCGGACTTACCAAACTACCATAAATGTTTGTGTCCAATAATAGATTAGGTAATGCGTGGCGCAGAGATGAGGAGGATTTTCTTGATGACGACGAATCTTTTTTTTTTTGAAAATCATGATGTTTTGAATATCCGTGATTCAAATCAAGTTATATAAAGAATAAAAACAATAAAAAACGGGATTTTCCATACTTAACCAGATTACCCGACCATTTCATTCTAATGGATTGATTTGTTTATTCATTTTCTGTAGGGGGTTTATGTTTGAAGTATTTATAGATGTTATAGTACGTAATGTCTCTTTTCCAAAGACGATTTAGTAAAGAAAAAGTAGTTGGATGTTTCCCTGAAAAAAAACTTATGTAATTGACAAAAAAAAAAAAAAATAATAAATGATCGAACAATAACCTTAGAATAATAGATAAATAATATATATATATATATGAAATACATATCCATTTTCATTACCAAATGTAATCAATGGTTATATCAATTGTATTATCTTCAATGATTCCCTTTTTTTTACGCAAAAAAAAAAACAAAAACAAAAGAAAAAAAAAAAGAAAAAAAACGTAATGCAATGTCATTAAATACATTGTAAAAATCAAAATTTTCTCAAGATTTCAATTTGAACGAATGAAACGACTTGACGAAATAATGCAATGCAACACATTCTTAATAGTTTAATCGCACTATATTCATTTGACTTCTTGTATTAGTAATATTGATTTTAACTAATAGTTTAACTTGTATTAAGATTATCTAATGCTGTAATACTTTGTGGTAAGACAATGATTGCTGGCCACGCGATAATTTCGAGTCATTTTTTTTTTTTTTGGTTGCAAGATGGATTGGGAGTGAAAAAAAAATTAAAGTTTTACATTCTATTCTTCAACCATTGTAATGATTAAACCAATTAGTGGAAGGTATGTGTGGCGTACATGACAAGAGATTTAAAGAAAATTACAAGCGAAAAAGGTTCCGCAGAAATTATGTACATATATTTCATGTGTTGTTTATAAATATATTAATTTTATTTTAATTTCCGCAGTCTGACAAATAAATAAATGGGTCTTGGTTTTTGTGAACAACATTACAAGATTTCTTGTTCAACTGGTTCAAGATTAACGTATTCTTCCTTAAGATGGTTGAAGTTATTCCACATGATGGTTCTATCAGTTTATAAACAAGAGTACAAATATAGACAAATAATTAAACAAGATTTCCGAATTAGTAAATTGTATTCCCGATTATTTTATAAATAGTAAGTTGGAGCAAATATAAACACGTTTAATTCCTTTTTTATTCTTGTCAAGATTCTTTTTTTTTTTTCCTTTTACTTTTTCTTTTTCCTCCCCCTTTTGTCAGTCTCTTTTATATATGTGTGTATGTATATATGTAACTTTTTTTATTTCCTTAAATTTTTATTTTTTTTTTAGCCACAAAGAATCTTTTTTTTTTTTTTTTCGTTTACCTCAATTTTAAAAGAGATCCTTTTTTTTTTCTCTCTCCTCTTCTTGTACAGACATAATATTTATGATGAATCACTCGTCTCAAAAGAAATCACAAAAACACATCTTAAATAAACTGAAATCATGGACGAAAAAATTGGTGACCCCCTCAAAAGCCACCCTCAAACATAAACAACCAGAATGTAATAATGCGATTCCACAAGTAACCCACCTTTCAATAGAAAATACTTCCGTAGAATTAAGAATAAATGGTGGAGGTTCAAAAAGGAATAGTCGAAATTTAATATGGAGTGAAACCATAACCAAAAGTATTACTAATGATGCATCATCGGATGGTGGTGATAAGACACTGCCAACCTTTGAACAACAAAAACCTACGACGAGAAGGAGTTCATTCTTCGCCATATCAAGGTTAAATAGTAGATTAAATTCACGAATTTCCCGAGTTAGTACTCAACAATCTCATAGGCGTGGATCCGAAGTTACCACTTGTACTTTACCTGAATTGGCTGAAGAACCATTTGACATTGATTTTATATTTAATGATTTTGATGAATTAAATGAGATTTATGGATTGGAAGAATCCGACGAACCTTACGATAATGATTTAACTGAGGATTACCTGAACGATCCAATCAACCAAAATGATTTAAACGATTTTCCCGATTTGCCCCACGTGAATGAAGACGAACCGTATAATCCTAATATTTATCATTATAATCAAAATAATAATATTGCCTTGTCCGTTATTAACGAGGAGTTGGACACTTTTTGGGAATCGTCATTGTCATACCAAACTTCATTCTTATCGCAATTCAATGCCACTTTACTTTGCCCACCTTCATCTTCTGAAAGTCCCTTACGTGGTAATGTCATGGAAATAGAATGTATGATAAATCATTCAAACTTGAATGTTTGCGAAATGTGTCATTCTCGGTTACCGAGTCCATCATCTCGTACATCGCAATACAATAAATCATCCGTAATGTCCGATTCTTATAAAAATATTTTACCTCCTCTTGTAAATACTCAACTGACTTTACTGAAAAGACATGATCCGGATTATATTACCGTTAAAAATATGTTTTATTCTGAAATACCTCGTGCTATAATCAAAGCAATTATCAGGTTGGACATGCCAACTAAATTGGTTAAAGATCATGAAAAATATAAAAGTAAAATCGCTAAACTTTATGAGAAAAAAAGCGTTGATGACGTAACATTCAGCACCTTTCACGGCACCACCACGTTATTTGACTGTGATCCCGGTCGATTTGCGGATTCAAATTATTGTTCTCTTGAGAACAAGGTGTTTTGTAAAAAAGGTTGCGGTATGTGTGGTATCATTCAACATGGCAATCGAAAGAAATTTTCAAAGCATGGCAAAAGTAAGTATGATGATAGAGGAAAAAGATGATAAAAAAAAAAAATATGAAGCTAATCGATTTTAAATCTGTAGAAATGTGGTTCGCTTATAGCGCTTTAATTTCTCGTGATTATACGGATAGTAATAGTTATACCAAGGTTATGTTTGTTATTGACGTTGTGGCAAAAGAACATAACTGGATTCTCGTGGTTAACAAAAACAAGGTGCGTATTCATCTATAATCGTATCATAATTTGATTATCAACTTAATCCTTCTTTCTCTGTTGATAGGCAACCCTTCCAAGGTTCATGATCATATTTGAGTGAACTCTAGCAAAATCGTGGCGTAGCAAATGAGACCTACTGGTTTATTACTCATTTTCGGATGTACTAAACTTTTATTCGAAAGTTTTAGTAATTAATTTTTTTTTCTCGTATATTTATTTGCGTACTTTAAAATCTCTTCTTTATATTCACAAACACAAACAACACAAACACAAACTAACACAAACAAAAAAAACCTCCCTTTAAACTTGTAAGATATTTTTCACAATAATATATATTATTTGTAAGTAGTTTATGTAAAAGTAATTATCTATCATGTAATGAATTTCCATATCAAATATCTTTGATAGATATTTATGGTTTATACCTTTTTTGTAATATAGTAAATCAAACAATTATTTTATAATGTATGATATTAGAGTATGATATACGGTGTATTTAGATAAATGAAATAAATGAAAGATAAAAGACAAAGTTTTATGTGCAAAAGCCACCGTGAACGAATGAAATAATTTCGTTGAAACCTAGGTGATATGGAAAATCAAAAAAAAAATTACTGATCGTGATTTTACCGAATATATCACTAGAACAATATGATTTTTTTAGAAGGGAAGTTGTTTATTTATTTATGTCCTTGTGGAATAGCTTCAACTCCAATTAAAAAAAAATGCGCCGTACAACCATGGCTTTTTTTTTTTTTGAAAAAATAAAATCCGAAATGTTCTCATGACCTTGGAATTTTATTGTACGACCCTCATGATGTTATAGAATATATATGTCTCATTACAATTTTATTTAAACGTTCACCCTTCATGAATTCTTTGATTAAAAATAAATAAATTCATTAAAAAATATATATTTAATTTGATTTTATTTAAATAAAAAAATATATTGGAAAACTTTGTATCATCATAGTACTAACCTGTTATTATCATATCTATGAAATTGATAGTAAAAATATTTTGATTTCGAAGGTTATTTAATAAATTATCATCTAAAAAAAATTTCGTGAGTTCATTTCACAATTTAATAAGGAGCATTACAAAGACGTTTCTCAAGCTGAGAATTCTTATCTACTGTAAATTTCAACTTTTCAACTTTATTATGAATATAATATTAATAATTTGTCAAGATCAAAAATAATTAAGATATAACGTAAAGAAATTTAACGTAAAGAAAATTTAAACGCGTGATTTTGACTTTATATCTCCCTCAACTCAGTAAATTAATTGTTTAAGAATAATTTGGCATGCTCGTCAAAATAATATATATACTGTTCAATTTCTTTCTGATTTAGTACCGCTAGTTTTCTGCTTCGATAGTGATTCTTATATACAGTATATGCTGTTCGTTTGGCTTCTTCACATATGATCTGACCCAGATAGTCATATTTTCATGGTTAATTGATTTCCCTCGTATAATAAAGTTATAAAATTCAAGAAAAAAAAATGAAATTACACGTAAAAAAATTTTTACACAATTTATTAAAATAATTAAGGTTCTATCATAAATCATCATCCTTTTTGCCCATCAACATTCACATTCTCACTGGCTTTAGATGCCATATTGCTAGCTTTGCCATCGGGAATACGAATAAATCGAAGAACCGGTTCAGAGGGGTCATTATCCAAAATATAATACCCACGACGCTCAAATTGGATTATATCACCTATTTCAATAAAGTTGTTATTATTCTTGGCCTTACTTTTTAGAATACTTGATAACACTTGGTTTTATTTACCTTTCTTTAATTCCTTAACGTTACTATCAGCTAAGGCATCGGTTAAAAATTCTGTTTTCTCCGTGACAAAATTTGCAACTTCGTCGCCTTCCTCCAGTTTCTTTTTATTTATTAAATAATCATAATCGATTAATACAACTTCAGAAACGGATCTAGTATCGGCAAGCCATGTAATTTTCTTTTTAGTCTTTTTGAAATCTCCTTCCAAGTGAAGTTGCAATTCAAGTCCTATAACGATACTAGGATTTGTATCAGACTTGTGAATCGCTTTAATAATTGCATTTCCCCAATCCATAAGTGTGATCTGAAAGAATTAAGATTTCATTTAATGTGCATACACGATTTGTATTACGTTCATTTTTTCTATTATACCTCTTCTTCGATTTCAAAAGTATTTGCATCCTCTTGTTCAACCCAAATATTAGAAGAGAACCATGTTTGTTTATTTCCTACATCTGGGTTCTTTTTATGCTTGGCCATTTCTTTAGGATAAGCATTCTCGGGTCCTCCCAAAATATTTGCCTTCACTCTAATATGACAAGGAAAGTATACGACGATAAGTCAGATCAAAGACACCTGTTTTTTTGGTTTCAAAATCATTAGATACAACTACATACATATCCTGTTTGATAATTGAAGTGTGTCTGGGTGCAACAGGATCTATAACTTTTCGATTTATTGCCCATAATTTATCCCATTCCAATAGAACATCATTCTGTGACGCTCCTTGAGTCAATATATATTGATTCAATGCTTCAACTGTCATTCCACGACGTACGATTCCTAAAATAGAATAAATCAATTTAATTATAATATGTCTTGTTTGTTGAACTTATTCATAAAATAATTTTATGGCAATTTACCGCGAACTGTTGGGAACCTTGGATCATCCCATCCACTGACAATGCCTTGATTCACAAACCATTGTAATTTACGTTTTGACAACAATGTATAAATAAAATTCATTCTACTGAAATCCCAAATATGAACTTTTCTTAAATCTAAAGCTTTAAGGATCCAATAATATTGAGAATTTCTATCTCGATATTCATTAGTTCTCAACGCATGTGTTACGCCTTCTACTGCATCTACGATTGGACATGCAAAATCATATGTTGGATAAACCTTCCATTTATTCCTAATAAAAAGGAAATTTGAGATTTAGTGATTAAACTAAAACGATAATTGTAATTTTTTAAAAAAAAGCACTTATGAAATAGAGAAATACCCGGTACGATGATGAGGTAATATGTTACACCTATAAATTACTGGATCACGTAAAGCTTTATTTAGGTTTGACATGTCAATTTTTGCTCTAAGGCAACAATTTAATCCCTATAAGATAAGGAAAAAGGCTTAGTTTTTTAAAAATATTAAAGAACAATTCATTAATTTTAAATATGACTTACAAATGCAGTTCCTTTAATCATTTCTTGAAACCTTTTTAGATTTTCTTCAACAGATATTTCTCTATTTTTCGAAGGGATGCCATCCATACGTTGTTGTCTCATCTATTAGATAATATTTATAACGTATTACAAAATTTGCGAAACATGGGATTTCTAACGATATCTAAAGATTACTTACAGTGACGACATCAGTATCATCAACGTAAGCTAATCCTTTTTCAATAATCTTGATTGCATACTGATACAATTCATCAAAATGATCGGATGTATAAGTAACTTGATCAGGACGAATTCCAAGCAATTCTAGATCCTCCTTAATACTATCCTCAAATTCTTCCTATAAATGTGAAATAGTATCTAATGAGTTTATGTATAAACAAAAGAAAAAGGATTTGTTTTTTTAAACTACCTTTTCCTTTGAGGGATTAGTATCATCAAATCTAACAATCATTTTTCCTTTATACTCTTTGGCAAAATATTGATTCAACATCGCAGCTTTAGCATGTCCGATATGTAAATATCCAGAGGGTTCTGGTGGAAACCTAGTGACCACTTCTCCAATTTTGGCATCTACTAAACCGATATTCATGTTTGGTTGATCCTTCCCAACTTTGGACTTTGAATGAGTATTTCTTAGGTCAAAACATTTGGTTCAAAATCGATGTTAGATATTATTATTTTTAATGAATACATACTGTTTTTGATTTGGCGGTTTGAGTAACCCAATTTGTTCCTTGTTGAATAAAATCCAACGAACTAATATAATTAAACCATCTTGTTAAATAAGGACCTCCTGCTTCCTTCCCAGCTTTAAGCTGGCTATTAAAAACTGCCGAATCTATTAATTAGGAGATTAGGTAAATATAAAATAATTTTAAAAAAAATATTACGTATTATCGTAATATAATTGACATACTTTTCAAAGCTCCCCATAAAATAATGTCAGCCAAAGATAATTTATAACTGACAAAAAAGGTTCTTAAAGTAAGATGATGATCCATTTCATCAAATGCCACTTCAAGAGTTTTGAAATCATTGGTTCCCAATTTATCCGCAGCATAATCTACCCAATGATCAATCTAAAAATAAAAAATAATGATATCAATAAATTAATCTTATTGTTTCGCCTTTATTCATGATTAAAATAAATGAAGAAATACCAAAGTCGTAGATCCCGGATTATTTCCATATAAACCCAAATCTTTATAAGTATTACCCAAATGTCTTGCAACATTATTTGTTCCAATTACGTCGTCGCTGTGTAAGATATATTTATTTGAAAAAGGGGTGTTAATTTTTGAATAATATTTTAACGAATTTGTTAAGATCGGTAAGATAGATAAAAAATTTACTTGTCATCCTTTAGAATCACAAAAGAATTAACATCATTACTTTCTTCGTGCCATTGAATATCAAGCGTTTGTGATGCAGCATTTGATTGGCGATTAACATAATGAGCCAATACAATGATACCTATAGAATTGAAATCGTAAAAGTAAATTAAAAATTACTACTAGGGTTCTATTTTGCCTGAGAAATCGATTCCTTTGAATAAATAAATTTTGGAACACAACGTGTCAAATATCGCATACCATAAGGAACATTATTTCCTTTTTTGCAAACGTTAATGGTAACCATTTCTCATTCAATTTTTTTTTTTTTAAAAAAAAAAACTGCCAAGCAAAGAAAGGTTTAGATTAAATTGATCGGCTCGAAAATGTATGAAAATAATTATTATTGTAATTGATCGGTTTGCATTTGGGCTAATTAAATTCTGTGGAGATTTCCATATAAAGGGTTGCAGCAGCATTACAACGATTATAGGCTAAAAATTACAAAATAGGAGAGATCTAACAAACCATAGCAAAATGAACTTCTCTCTTTTCTCACACACTATCCTATAATGAACTCGTACAGTATTACTACAATTTTTTTTTAATTTCCGAATTACTCTTGGAACATTTAATCAAATGGCGAGTACATGAATGAAGTCATAATGAATTATAATATTTTAGCCTTGTGACAGTCATTCATTCAATAAATAGAGTAATTATCTACAAAACTAGAGAACAAAAATTTTTTTGGGGGAATTTTAATCTCTTTTTTTTGCTTTGTTTCGTTATTTTTACAATAATGGGTCAAACAGAAAGTACACAAAAGCCTCAACGAGAAGAAGCAATTTATAAACGAACTTCACAAAAATATTCTAACCATGTTTTATATGATAAGATTTCCAATGATATATTGAATAAAAATTTTTCAAGTTTGGAAACTTATTCCTTAATGAGTACTTTTGAAAATTTATCATGTCTAAAAGATGATAAAGAAGTTATTGAAGAAGAGGCTTTTCTAGTTAGTATAAAATAATATATATATAAATAAATACAACTTAAATTACTCATGGTTTTTTTTTTTTGAAAAAAAAAAGAAATATTTGGGATTTCCCAAGGGAGCAAAAATCGGTTCCTTATTATATCGTTCATTTATATATTTAGCCACTTATCCATCACCAGTGCGTGGAGAGAACCTTTTGACACTCGATGGACTTATAAAGGCTATCGCAGTATACTGTGATAAGATTCGTGATGTTATATTAGAAGACCGTGTCAAACTCATCTTCAAATCTTTTGCTATGCATGGAGAACACTCCGACTCCGGAATAACATCGGACATTGAAAACTCGTCTCGTGATACTAACGACGACTATGATGACAAACCAACATTAAAGATTAGTTCTATTGACCTTGATGACGACGCCGCATTTTTAAGAGCCCTCGGGTTTACTAAAAACGATGATGATGAAACTCATCTTGTCTCCAAAATACCATGTACCGATATGATAGAAATCCTGGCAGGGTTAGTTTGGATCGTGACGATTCCTAATTCTTTAAGTTCGTACAAATCAAAAGAATTCGAATCTTTAAATAGCATTAAACAACTTCATGAAGTTGTGACTCCTATCGTTGAAAATATGGCAAGATATGATCCAAAACTTCGCAACCTTTCTCGTACACAAATCTTTTCCTCTCAAACTTGTATAAAATGGACAATATTTGACGATTTTATGCGACGTAATATTCCAAATATTTTTAGAGATTTCATCCCATTCTTTTATGGGCAATTCTTGATTGGGCTGACATTGTCGCAACACCGTCAAGAATCTATAATAACGAGTCCTCATTTGCCAGAGTTGGATGGAAAGTCTGAAAGTTTGAATCCTTCTAATTTGGCTTTATTGAGTTGGATGTTACCGGAAGAAACTTTTAAAAAAAAAAAATGGAATTGCTTATATTCGGGAAGTATACATGGATTTAGCATGAATCGATTTAGCAGCCACGTCTTTAAATATACTGGACCTACACTTATGATAATTCATGCCGAGGTGACATCAAATCATAATCGTCATCATCATCATACGAGAGTTTCCAAGAAGGAAAATATCTTGATTGGTGCTTACATAACAGATAAATGGCGTACTACACCCTCAACGCGTTCGTGTTTCGGTTCTGTAAAATGTCGTTTGTTTGAATTATATCCTACGTTTGAATCATTTCCCGCATCTCAACGTAACACGAATTACGTCTATTATAATCCAACATTTGGAATAGGATTTGGCGGTATCGCTACGTCAAAATCAACAAGTAAAATTGGATCAATGGACACAAATTCATTCGTGATGCAATTGGATAACACTTTGCAAAATGGAAGGTACAGGAATGATGCACTTAAGGGTACGGAACCAACTTACAGTTTAAGTGCTACGAGAACGTTCTTTGATAAGAGTTTTGAAGTTTTGGAAATTGAAGTGTTTGGATTGGGTGGAGAAGGGGTTAGAGAGAAACAAAAGAGAGAATGGATGTGGGAAGAACGGGAAGCTACAAAACGACAATCATCGAAGAATTATAAATCAAACGAAGTCGATAAAGAAATTCTAAAGGTGAGTATTCAATTTGATGAGATTTGAAAATCATATCGTGTCACATATTCACGTTTCGTTCCTTTTAGATGGCGGGAGTTATAGCAAGAAAAGAACCATAGTTCCTTTTATACTTGTTAGGAATTTAGTTTCCTAAGAAAAAAAATTAAATTAAATTAAAAAATAATAAAAAAATTAAATAAATAATTATTAAAAAATTTTGTATCTATTTTTCTTTAAATAAATTTCTACGATAATATTTTTTCATAGTTTTTAGATGTCCCTCGTGGTACATTATTAATGCACACATGACGAGTGTGACAGCTCATGAACTTCATATGATCTCCCGAATCTAACCCGATTTAGATGCCATTATGTAATTTTAGTAATCTAATAAATTCAACCATTCAACTCTCTAATCCAATTCCCCCAAAAATAATAAAAATAAAAGATGACAAAATTCTGGGCGACTCTATCTAATGATATCTTGAACATTTTAACAAACGGATTAGAAGAATTTAATGTCGTGATTGAAGTAGGCGAAGCTCCAAATACTCAAACTTTTCACGCACATTCCATTATACTTAGAGCTAGGTCACCATACTTTCGTCAAGCGCTTTCTAAAAATTGGGCTAGGAAAGAACGGGATGTTATAAAATTTACTAAACCTAATATAAGTCCAAAAGTTTTTGAAATAATCTTAAAGTAGGTTTAACGTTATAAGAGAGTAGAAATTTTTATATGGTCTTTCCTTAACCTCCCTTTATTTCTTTGTAATTATTAGGTTTATCTACAGCGGTACCGTGAATTTGATGGATAAACCGATGATGGAAGCATTAGATCTATTGATAGCAACAGATGAACTTCTATTGACAGAACTATCAGATCATGTTCAAGAATATTTATTACATTATGAAGTGGGTTGGCTGGAAGATAATTTAATAACGCTTTGGAGAAAGATAAATCAATATGAATCGTGTAGAAAACTTCAAGAATATTGTTTATCATTAATTTGTAAAGACCCAAACTTTTTATTTAAATCACCAGATTTTCTTTTACTCGATTCATCATTATTGGTTTCATTTTTGAAATTGGATAATTTACAAATCGGTGAAGTTCAAATTTGGGATTATTTAATTGAATGGGGATTGGCACGAAATGAAGATCTACAAGTTGAAAACATTTTACAATGGACAAAGGAAGACTTTGAACAATTGGGCACGACATTAAAAGAATGTATTCCATTAATAGGATTTTCACAAATCAATTCATCAGACTTTTTTGATAAAGTTTGGCCATTTAGGGATATTTTAACTAAGGATACGTTAGAAGATGTGATGAGATATCATTTGAAACCTACTACCTCGCCAAAACCTGTTGATAATTTAGCGAAAAGATTACAATTTGATTCGGGTCTATTGAGGCAAAGTCACGCAGCATTATTATGTAGTTGGATTGATAGATTAGGACAGAAACGGTATTTATACGAAGAGATTCCATATCGATTTCAATTATTATTGAGGGGAACCCGTGATGGATTTGATTCAAACACATTTCATGAAAAATGTGATGATAAAGGTCGTACGATCGTCGTGATGAAAATTCATCAAACAAATGAGATTATAGGAGGATATTCGCCTGTATCATGGTCCTCCAAAGAAGGGTATTGGAATACTGAAGATAGTTTCTTGTTTACACTCGGGAACAGAGGAATGATTGAGGATGGTAGGCTATGTAGGGTAAGCAGGCATAGAAGTTGTTATGCCATTAGATTTAATGGGAGAGATTATGGGCCTTGCTTTGGTGATAAGGATTTAAGCATGAAAGGAAAATTTGATCAAGAGGGAAGTTGTAGCTGTCAAAAAGATGATTACTTTGATAAAGTTACTGACACGGGAAGCTTTAAAGTTGATGAATATGAAGTTTTTAAGATCGTTAAAAAATGATACATAAATTTAATTGCTAGATTTTTATATTTTTAAAAAAAAACAAATTAATCATTTAATTATTAATTCTCCTATTTAATTATTATTTTAATATTTATTATTTCTATTATATCTGTTAAATTATTTGTTATACTTTATAAATAGATTTTATGTTTGATTGATAAATGATTTTTTTTCGGTTCTCTCTCTTTTTTTTTTTTAAAAAAAAAGAGGAGAAATATATTTACATTATTATAAGGATCTCACTTTATTAAAGAAAAATTCATTTGATGAGAAAATGTATTTAAATAACTAATTAATTATTTAATGTTTATACAATTTTATGACCGATCAAACGGCCAAACCACCTTTTTCGACATTTTCGGTCATAGTTTTCTTTTCATTTACATTTTCAGTAACAAGTTTATCTAAATGAATAATACTACCCAAATCACCGCTCCATTCCTTCTTTCCGATTCCGATACAATTCAAATTATTCACGACCGAATTATTGTTAAGATCCACGTCACTATTATTATCACTATTCATGCCAATACTGAACTTGCTACTATAACTATCAAAATCACTATTATACCCATCGCTATTGACGGAATTGTTATAATAAAAAGTTTTAAACCCTATGAATAAAAACATACTCTTAATCTTTTCTTCCTTCATACCAAATTTCCTAAATTCCCCTTTTACACCCCCTTTCTCGCCTTGTATGTTGCTTTCACTGTTTTTCTTGAATAAGCCTTTTACCCCACCCCCCGTCCACTTGTTTCTTCCGGTTATTGCTGGATATGGTTTCTTGTTAAATAAAGAATCACCACTCCATGAACTAAACCCACTTAATTTATCATCATCATCTCCGTGAATCGAATTTTCATCATCGATGTCTGAAGATGGTACTTCCTCATTCACATGAGATAATAAAAATACTCCGTAAACAAGCATCAGTATACCAACAAATACTAGTATCAATGCCCAAATTGGATATGATGTTAACGCGTCTAGGTAGATCATGGTGTTTACCAATCCTAGCGTAGTGTAAAGACCGAGGAATATTGGGACTACTAGCACTGATTCGCAATATTTCAACGCCACGTTCAAACAATATACCTATAATGTATATTATATATATTATAATAAACACCAAACGGAAGACGCGAAAAGAAGGAAAAAAAAACATTACCTGAATTAATGCGGTTATTAAAAGAAATAAAAGGACAAACCATCCGGTCAGGTCAGTGAATTGATTAACCTGAGTTGACACGGAAACATAAAACAATTTCACACTAAAAAAATAAAAAAAATAAAAAAATTCGATCAACATTATTTTCACATTTTTTTTTTAAAAAACAGTAAAGTCCTAATGACTCACCCGGACTTTGCCAAGAGGAGAGTTTGACTAGCATATAAACCAGCGACCGTGGCCATAATCATACCGCAATATGTCTTTAGACGAGCCGTTTCAATACTTTTAAAATATCTCATACTTTCTTTACGTTTCTCATTTAATAATATCAAATCGAAATATATTCCTCCAATTAAAAATAATAATATTGATAAAATATTCAGTATTGAAAAATATATGATGAATGATTTTTGTGTTATTAATGATTCTAATGATCTTAATGTTAATGATGATTCTAAGACGATAAAAAAAAAATTATGAGGTGAAAAAAGTGTTTGTTACACACATAAAAAAAAATATCATCCAAACTTACCAACATGACTGTTATTTTGACCTCCAAAGAAAACAACCCAACATACTGAAATTAGAACAATGATCGTTCCTATAATATGTCGTCGTGTGATTTCCGTCCCGACAAGCATTTTTGCAAAAATACAATTAAATATCAACGATACAGATCCAAGTGGCGCAACCCACTGAGTCTTCAAATAATCTAAACGAATGATTTGAGAGGTTTTTTAAAAAAAAATATTTTTTTTTCTTCGTTTTAAAAAAAAAAAGAAAAAAGAATATGACTCACTTAATGCTATTGTACTTCCAACGGCCTGACTTACAATATATAAGTATAAACCTAAATGCCATAGTGGCCTACAACAATCAACTCGTTGCTTTTCTTTGGGTAATGCTGAATTTTTTACATGATCCGCTTTTAACAGATTTAAACCTGCTGCGTACATTATTGAGGCTAGTACTGATACTACGAATCCTATAACGAATTCTAGGATCCTCATATTTTCATCTGAATCAGCCATATCGGATTATATCTTTGAAAGAAAGAATTGGAAAAAAAATTGATAACAGATGAAATGGAAGGTAATTAGAAATCAATGATGGTCTTTTATGGATATCTTATTGTCAAATATTTAATTAGAACGTTTGGAAATGTGTGTCCAAATCTAAAAAAGTTTTTTTTTTTTTTATTTGTAAAAAAAGGGTTAATTTTATCCTTTTCTATCGAAAATATAATCAGATATATGTTCGCGAGAAATTAATTATCTTAATCAAAGCAAAAACAAGAAGGAACCATTTCACTTCAAAATTAATTTTGTTAACCGACAATAAAAAATAAAAAAAAAAATCTTTTTTTGATTTGGAATGAAACATTTGACTAATTACGTATTCTAAACAATTTTCATGAAATACGCGATATAGCGTGGCTCGGATAAATTGAAACCAATTATTTAAACAACCAAAACAACTCAATTCCGCAATATTGAAAAAAAGGGGCTGTGGAGGCTTAGAATACAAGTGAAATTAGCCGTGATCACATGAAATGAATATCGGGGAAATTTTTTTAAAATAATCAAGGACTACGCCACCGATCATCGTTTTTTAAATTTTTTTTTTATTAAATATATCTATCTGTATGTCGATTTTTATACCAGATAAAAATCAAAAATATTAATTAATGCAAACCAATCTATATCTAAAATTATCTAATATCGAAAATCTATGAATAATTTAAAATAGTACATTTTTGTCCATTTGATGAAGTGCCACTAAATACTTCAACGGTTGAGAAATTGTTTTTCTTTATCAAAGTTTTGAAATTTGATTCCCTTGCTACAAACCAATCAATATGTTTATCTTCAAATGAGAAACCTTCATCATCGGCTCTAACACAACCATTATGGGTTTTACCGTTCGGTAATACTATTCCATCAAGTTTTGGAATATAGAGCAATGTTCCTTTCTTAATATCATTGGCTGCTACAGTGACAAAAGGAACTAATGGTACACCACTTGACGAAATGCCAAATGGAAATTTTGTTTTGTCTAATTGGAAAAAGCAAGCATATGATGAACCACAATCACAATCTATTTTTTTTTTTAAAAAGGAAGAAAAAGGATGTGAGTGAGGATCAACAAATTTTTAATAAATCATTCAACAAAAGAATTACTTACCATCAAGGTTAAAAACTCGACCGTCCTTGGCGACACCGGTCCCTTCTATTTTCATGGCATCAGCAAAACCTTTATTCACTGTTGCAAGCTTTTTACCATTACATGTTTTAATATCAACTGTTTTTGTAGATTTAAAACCATTTTCGAATTCAACCCAGAAAAATGTGAAATCAGATTTCTTTGATATAAGGGGTCCTTTAACCGATTCACGTTTTTCTAAATGGTTCGAAAATCCGGGTAGTCCAGATTCAAGAGTTGTGGGTAATGATGAAACATAAGTTATCATTATGAAAAGGATCATTAAGGAAATCGAGTGTTTGTTCATTTTGTACATTTTTTGATAGTTATCTTTTTTGAGGGTTTTACAGAAATATTATGAATGTAAAGGAAGTATATTTTATTTTCCTGAGGAAACAATTCTCGGCATGTTGAAAAATCCTTCATTTTATACTTGTAAGATTTATTTGACCGATATATGAAACAAAGGACTTTTGGATTTGCTGCTACGCGTAAAGTTCAAAAGGGTCGCATCCGCATCGCGTAATCCTTCAAAAAACAATTGCTTCTATTAAAGAAAAAATCATAAATTATATGATTGACGTTGGAATGTTGATATGTTTGAGATGAAATGCAAGAATACTCACACATACATATTTATGTGATTAGCCAGTTATATTAAATTTAATTAATGTAAATGACAGCCCTAATAAAAAAATTTTTATAAATAAAAAGCGGCTTTGTATTAAAAAAGAATCCGATCAACAAACAAACAATGGCCAAATCAAAAAAAAAAAAAAATATCTGTAGTTTCATGTTTTTGGTTATTTTTAATATACTCTTTTTAGAATTCGAATTTAAATTTTATTATAAATTGCTTTTTAGCTTGTTTTTTCTTCCGTCATTAATAAAAATGGGTTTATTCAAGAAAATCCTATTTCCATGTCCAAAGGAAATGGTCCTTTATTCACCTTTTTATGTCAATATCCGTTTATACGAAATTTTTATAATGCATAATCAAGAATGTATGTATTGTTTCCCCTTCTCCATGTTTCAAGACAAAATAAATGCGTATTTTCGCTGTTTTATCATTCATAATAACGTAAAGGTATATATGTTTTCGTTTGCGTAACTGCGAAAAAAAAAGATCCAGATTATAACGTTCTTTTTTAGTTCATATTCAGTCATACAAAAATGTTTCGGCAAAAAAAAAAAAAATTCCAAAAATAATGTACGTCAAAGCTATCACAATGCGAGTCTCAAATATACAAAAGAAAGAAAAAAAGTATCGAGAGACATGTTGATCACCGTTTGACCTTTCGCTTTGAGTTTTATGGGTTTAATTTTTTTAATATATTTTTACTTTTATTTTTATTTTTATTTTAAAATATTGCAGAAGAAAAAATGACATCAAATTATTGCGTTGATGGTTCATTATTTGAAATCGACTTATTTGATTAGTTTAAATTCGTGAATAACCAAAAAATAAAAACGATAATGTACTTGCAATATGGAGAAATTTGCATGATTATTTTTTTTTTTAGATCAAATTTAATTGGATTTATAATATAGAAGAATCTTAGATTCATATCTTTATGATTAGTGGATAACTATAATTTTGAGTGTTATCAAGAAAATTTTCAAAAAAAGAAATTTCTTTACAAAGTTATTAATAAATGAATTGATCTAATTCGTTCGCAAATCATTTTTTTCATGTATTTTTCTGTTACATATCATGATTCCATTTGAATATTTACCGTTTTTTTATATATTATGAATAGTTCTTTTTAATAATTTTTTAATACAACAAATAGCAGATATTCTAAACAAATAAATAATATACATTTCATAGGTTCAGACATGTTACTTACTGAAAATTGTAAGACGGGCAGGATTCTACATACAATAAGAACTAAACATACTAAAAATAATGCCGCCTCAAATTTTTTATTACATGAACGAATGGATATCTTTGTGCTAAAAATAAAATCTTACTTTTTGATGCTTAACAAAATAAACTATTTTATTAATAAGCGGTTTATTTTGAAACATAGTGAAAATGAACCATTCGGTGTTATATATATCACATGTCCAGTGTTCAATACACAGCTTGTAAAGTTAGAAATTTTCCAGTAAATTTTTTAATGTTCAAGAAAGATAAAAACTAGATTTTCTTCATTCGTAAAGTAAGAAACAATATGGCTTCTAGTCAAAAGTGTAAGTTATCCATTTTCGATTAAGATTAGAAAATTTTCAAAAACTGTAAAAAAAAATGAACTTCGCTTAAAAAGTTTAATTATTCGACAAATTTATGTTCTAGACGCCTGGTCCTTGGTCTTGCTTATTTTGCTACAATTACTACAAGTTTGTTTATTTTCAACGAAAATTCTATAATGCACGTAATGTCTTACAATTTTACCCTTTTTTATAACATTTGATAAACGTTACACAGAATACAAAAAGTACGTTGCGCGGGTATAACTTTTTAGTTAATAAGATAAAAGGCTCTTTACATGCTAGTACACCCACAAACAAAATTTATTTTAAATTACAAAGAAATGATTCCATAGAATATTGATTAGATCAACGCGTAAAAACCGTATAAAATAATGGATTTTTTAACACTGTGGAATTCAGAAAAAAAAATCCCATCTCTTTTTTTACGTTCATTTTGATAATATCTCATTTGTATATTTTCATTCCTTCATTCATTTGATAACATATCATCTTGTTTATCATTCTTTTGATAAATTTTCGTTTGTAAATTATTCACTTCCTTTCCGTAATTTTTTAACATTCCCCTACTTAAATCCCCACAAATATCAAGAAATATTTTCAAAATGACAAAATACACCTACTTCCTATGTATAGTTTTTCCAATCCTTTTCATAAGCTCTACACACATTTTCTCCTTTCCGATAGCTATTTCTGAAATGGAAAAACGAGCTGCTGGTAAAAGAAAACTTATTTCTTCCAAATCTGCATTTACCTATTATTGGGATGCATTTGAATCGGATTACAAATCGTCTAATAAAGTCACGATTCGAACTTGCGATAGGAAACCTATTGCGACCGTAAATAAGGATTTTGCAATTGAGATGAAAACGGAAGGAACTGGTGTGAGTAAATCTGGCAGAGTATTTAACTTTGGTGGTAAGTAATAATAATGAATCTTCTTAAATCTTACAAACCGTATCTTATAATATCGCTCTGTAAATTCATCCGTTTTTTTTATTTTTGTTTTTATATTTTTTTAGATTGTGATTGCGGTTCTGGTTTCGATTGTTTCATTGAGCTAAACAAACAGAAATTACCGTTTGGTGTTTCATCAAATCAAAAGCCTCTTATACCATTTGTCACCATAGCAGCTAATGACCTTCGTCTGGGAACAAAGTTTTACATTCCAAAGCTTGATGGAATGCTCATGCCGGGCGGGGTACGTCACAATGGATGCGTAGAAGCTGATGATGAAGGTCACGGGTTTGGAAGAAAGCATATTGATTTTTTTGTTGGCAAACAATCCATCTATAAGGCCTTAATAAAGCAAAAGCTTTTCACCGAAGTTGAAGTTTTTAGCGGAGAGAACTGTAAACTTCTGAATTATATAAAAGCTTAGAATTTTTGCCGATTTACTTTTAAGAAATTTTATCTAAGCATCAAAATTTCTTACATGATATGAAATTAGATATATATTTATTAGAAAACGATAATTTTTTATATTATTGTATTTTCACTTTATGATTCGCATGTGTACTTGAAATTTAAAGAACAATTCTTAGAGCTTCTTCAATTATATCCACAACGATTTAGTGTAGCACAGTATCGTACATTGCATTTATACTTACGTCGGGTATATAAACACGATCTTGTATATTATTTGTTAAATTAAGTTTTCTTTGTATACGAACTATAGAGTTTATATGTACCAGATCGTGTTTACTGACATTTTTCATAAATTGAAGTAGATTGTTTAAAGAAGCTTAAAATGACAGAATCGTACAAAGTTATAATTTTATTAAATGTTCTACTAATGTGTCTTCTAATATTATGTAATATTGTCAAATAACTTATAAAATAAAACTGATTTATATAAATTAATTTTTATTATTAAAATATATGAAAATTAATATAAATACTGATTTTGATATTATTAACGACTCTTTTTTTTTCATATGAAAATTATTATGATTCGTGGAGGAGGACTTTTCTTTTTATTAGAGCTAAGATAACCAACCCTATTATCATTATTCTATATACTAAGTGTTTTGAATGAACAAAATATAATTCGATTTTCTTACGATAATTAATTGTCATGCCAGATTATATTTTGAGCAGAAATAATAATTATAATAAACTGTACTTTCTGCAATTCCGAATTGGAAAAAAATATCATAGCCTGATATATATATTTGACCAATTATTTCATTACAGGTCAGGTAAAATGTTTTTTTGTTTTTAAAATTTTTTCATGATCACAAGTGTAATTAAAAAGGTCTTTCTTAAAGGTTTGCGAAATAATAAAATATCCAACACCAAATGGTTCGACTTTTGTAGCCTATACACAACTGGTGAATGTGAAATAATATGAGAAATTAGCAATTCATTTTTTTCACAAAAACATATTTAAATCTAACGCTTCTAACTATAAATGAAATAAAGGTAGGATCCATAATTAAAAATAAGAGTAGTTGATTCTCTTAGGAAATGGTGAGATTTGAATAAAGGTTTCAATTACAAATAACAATTTTTTTTTTGGATAAATTTTGTAATGATTAAGCATTATGGTCACAGCAACTTTTCACTTAAATTTAATTGATTAAAATAAATTATTAATATTACTTGTATGGAATTGATTCATCAAGTTATTTTTGAAATAATGTTTTCTCAAAGTTGTTAACATTCATAAATGGAGGTAATCTAATTTTTTCTCAATGTTCTCTGACATATACCGTATACAACGATAATAAATTTTCTCCCATTAAAATCTTTCATGTTTATATTTACAAAACATTAAACTCCATAGGTTCAAACAAATTGCTTACTGCGTAAGGTTTTAACTTTTAAAAGATTGATTTTCCTTTTTGTTTTGTTTAACATTATTAGATAAAGAAGTCAGGTTTCTACAATAAATATTTCTTATCAACTTTATTTTTTTTATTTAAAAAAAATAAAGGCTCTAAATGTTTTCATAAAAATAAGTTTTTATTTTATCTACAAGCATCTGTCAAAAGCATAAGTTATTCATTTTCAATTAAGTAGAAAATTTTTAAAACAAAGAAAAAAAAATGAACAATTCGCTTAAAATTTTATTTACTCGACAAATTTGCCTGGTCCTTTTACAACGGTAATTCTGTAAATGCATTTAATGTCTTACAATTTAAACTTTTTCTTTTGAACAATTGCGTGTTGCGAGTATAACCTTTTGTTAAAATGATAAAATTTCTTTCATGTTACAAACAAAAATTTAATGTAATTTACATAATGATTCGATCAACGCGTAAGAATTGTATAAAATCATGAGTTGTTTGGCTCTTCAGCAGAAAAAAAAATTCTCATCTCCTTTTCGTTCATTTGATAATATTTCATTTGTATATTCTACGTTTCGTTTGTAAATTATTCATTTCATTTCCGTAATTTTGTAAAATTCCCCTACTTAAATCCCCACAAATATCAAGAAATATTCTTAAAATGACCAAATTCACCTTCTTCCTATGTATAATTTTTTCAATTCTTTTCATAAGCGATACTCTCATCTTTTCCTTTCCGACAACTAGTTCTGTTTTGGAAAAACGAGCTGCTAATAAAGGAAAACTTCTTTCATCTAAAGCTGAATTTACCTATTATTGGGTTGTATATGAATCGGATTACAAATCGTCTAATCAAGTCACGATTCGAACTTGCGATAAGAAACCTATTGCGACTGTAAATAGGGATTTTGCAATTGAGATGAAAACGGAAGGAACTGGAGTGAGTAAATCTGGTAAAGTACTTAATTTTGGTGGTAAGTAATATTAATGAATCTATTTAAATCTAACAAACGTATCTTATAATATCGGTTTGCTAATTTTTTATTATTTTTTTAGATTGTGATTGCGACTCTGGCTTCAATTGTTTCATTGAACTAAAGAATAAAAAGCACTCGCTTGGTATTTCATCAAGTCAGAAGCCTCTTATACCATTTGTCACCATAGCAGCTAATGATATTCGTCTGGGATCAAAGGTTTACATTCCAAAGCTTGATGGAATGATCATGCCGGGCGGGATAAGACACAATGGATGCGTAAAAGCTGATGATCAAGGCCGCGGGTTTGGAGGAAAGCATATTGATTTTTTTGTTGGCAAAGAATCCAATTACAAAGACTTAATAAAGCAAAAGCTCTTCACCGAAGTTGAAGTTTTTTGCAGAGAGGACTGTATTATTCTGAATTATACAAAAGTTTAGAATTACTTTTTAGAAATTTTATCTAAGTAGAGCTTAAGATCAAAATTTCTTACATGTTATGAAAAGATAAATTTATCTTTTATTTTGTTATCGTTGTATTTTCTTTTTTCAATCATCTTGTAATAACACGTCATAATGCAATAATCAATAAGGAAACTTGTTATGTAAACAATAATTTAACTCAGGTGGTACTACGCCACTGCCGATTTGATCTCGAATAATTTTGTTTTAATTAATTTATATGTAACTATTTAAAATTAAACATATTACGTGATTAGAATTATATCTAATGCAAAGAAATTGTTTTTTTTCTCATTTTTAAAATATCATTTTTGCAACAAAATTATTTTTGTCATTGAAAGTTTTTAACAAATAAATAAATTTTTATATATTTTACTTTAAACATTTTTAGTAAAGTTTAAAATAAGAACTATAACAAAGGAAGAGAAACCTGTTAATAAAGCAATTGTTAAACCATAATTAGGGCTCCCATCTTTCATTAGCGTTTCACCGAAGAATGCTTCAATCTGTGCGGAAGAAGCGGCCAATAGTGTGCCAAGTTGATAGACTAAACCGGGAAAAGTTCCACGAAGTTCAATTGGAGAGATTTCATTCAAATAAACTGGAATTACTCCCCAGCAACCCTAAAAACAAAATGACAAAAGAGGTCGAGTTTTCTTTTTAAAGTAACATAATATAAAAAAAAAAAGATATTTAAAATTACTTACAGCTATACAAAGGTAAACAATAAAAGCACCCATTGCCAAAACATAATGATTTCTCGGCATAACATATAAAGGTAAAAAACATGCGGTGAAAAAGATAAAACAGATCATTGTATTTTTTCTTCCAGCCCAGTGATTAATGTAACCACTTATTGCTCCTCCAATTATTGATCCTAAATTTGCAATTATTGTTATAATTGTTATTTGACCTGGTGTAAAGTCAAGTTGAACTTTCAAAAATGTTGGGTACAAATCTTTTGACCCTGTTGGTAATAAAACATGTGAATTATATATGCATATATATATATATATATAAGTTTGCATAAATTAATCAATCATTATCATACCGTGAATTACGAAATTTAACACGGTCATTAAAAATAAGGCGAAAAAAAATTTTTTCCAATGTTTTGTTGCAATTGACCGTATTTCTTCAAGTGAACTATATGAATTTTTACGTAAAACACGTTGTCTTTGCCATTCTTCGGATTCTGGTACCAAAAAATATATTATTATGACAAGAATAACCGGAATTGAACCTATGAAATACGTGACACGCCATCCCCAATTAGTAATTACGGCATAATATGCTATCGCTGCTAGGAGAAATCCAAGTGAGTAACCTTCTTGGTAAACTCCCGATAACAATCTGTTAAATAAATCGATATTGTTAACTTTTCTTTATTGATCTCTTCTTGTGTTAAAAATAAGTAAATAAATAAATACCCACGACTTTCAAAAGGTAAGGATTCCATTGCTAACGCGGCTCCTAAACCCCATTCCCCTCCCATAGCAACTCCAAAAAGTGCTCTCGTAATAACATAGATTGAAAAATTTGGTGCAAACCCTGATGCTAATTGTAGTCCACTGGACATAAAAATATCAACCATTAATGGGTATTTCCTACCGTATCTTTCTGATAATAATCCAAATATCAAAGCACCTAACGGTCGAAATATTAACATAAAAGTAATGCTAATATAAATTAATGAAATTTTGAATTTTATTTGTCTATTCCGCTATTTATAAAATTGAAATTTTAAAAAATATATACTGTAATATATCGTATACCTTAAGGCAACATCAGATGGACGCAAATTGAAATCTCGAGCAATATAAGGTAATGTAAACGTAACCATGAAAAAATTAAATGAAACGGACGTCCAAGCCAATAGTGCCACAACAAATGTTATAGATTGCGTTTTATTGATTAGCATTAACTTTTCTAAAGGACTTTCGCTTTTGCGGGGAGGTGATAAATCTGAATCAAATTCTTCTGTAAAGCGTGATCCTTGCATTTTTATTATTATTATTATTATTATTATTTTATTTTTGATTCATATTTATATTTTTAAATTGCGGCTTAAACGAAAAAGCCACAAGAGATCAAATGAGGGAAATCCGTCAAAAGATTTTGTCACATGACTGTCATAGAGCATCCAAAATTATCATTTTTTTCTTATAAAATATAAGAGAATATTTATTATAAACAATAAGTCTAATTACTTTAATTACATATTAAAATTTAAATATATTAAGTATCTATTAACAATAACAATATTTGATTACTAATACATTATCTAGACCACTTCCTTTTGTTCAAATACATATGGTGGCTTTCGATAATGGCAAAACTCCTGTTCGTCCCGATCGCGTATTGTGACTTGTCGAACCGCGGGGTTTCTTCCCCATTTCTTTCGGACCGCATGATCCGTTTCTCTTGTTTCGGGTTTAAAGGTCTTGTAGGAAAAGAAAAGTTGAGAATGTGTTAAATTTGGATGCGTAGGAAAAAATATAGTTTTAAGTAAAAATTTTATCGACTTTTACTTACCGTTATTTAATAAATATTCAGTTGAGAAATGAAAGGGGTTAGATTTTTTTTTTACCCAGTTTTTATACATTTTAGGATTATATTAATCGAGTGATTTTAAATTTATTGTCGGAGAAATTAAGTTATATAATTTCATATAAATAAATGGGTGAGTGATGCGAAAAGCGGAAAAAATTTTTTTTTGAAGTTCTGGATCAAATGAAAGAAAAAATTTTCGGTTTGGAGGCCTTTTCAGGTTATTATTTATAATAAAATTATTAACGTATTAAACAAACCAATGAAATAGATTGATTTTTAAACGTGTTCTGAGTTATGGGAAAAAGAAATTTGGCCTGCGCTGATTGGTCTGTAATGATACAATCTCACGTAAGGGGCCCTTACACAAGAAATTTAGTAATCAAAATCTTTTTTTTTTGCCATCAATCTCAATTCCGAAGAAAAGAAAACATTGGTTATATTATTCCTTGGGTTTGGATACACTGAATTCTTAATAAAGAAATGATCTTTTTTTTTATTTATTGTCCCATGAAGTCCTCGATCAATGATTATCAAAACATTTGCAAGAAATAATCTTTTTTGGACAGATCTGCTCGTTTGGATTAGATCTACATTTTGCTTCTAGAAATCTGCCTAATAATCCTAATCCTATTATTCTAAAGTAATCCATCTCTCCAAATAGATGAAAGATTTTGTATTTATAATTTTCATATGATTTCTATTTTTGTATAATGATGATTTCAAATGAAACTAAATCAAATGAATTAAAATCTTATTTTTTTTTGTAGATAACTAGATTTCTTGATTAGTATTTGATAATTAACTATATATATCTGTAATTTTAATAAAAAAAAATAAAAAAAAATTTTGTTAAAATATTAAAAGAAATTTTTTTAATAAAAATGCCTTTAAAATAATATTATGCTATATTTATGACTCTTAAAGAAAGGTAAATGAACTGTTATACAATTAAAGAAATTACTAGTATTGTTAGAATTGATAAAGAAGATTCTAATAAGATAGGATTTCTTCAATTTATTTTATCTGATTAAACAGTTTAATCAAAAATTAAGCCTTATATGATTAGTGATATCATTTGTCTTAAAGAAAAGTTTGTAATATATATGATAATTGGTATTTTATAAGTATTACAAAAAAATAAACCATTTAACTATTTGTATTTATTATATATTCTTTAAATATTTTTTTCTTTATTCAGATTAATATTACCTTTATAAGAATCATATAATGATATTCTAATAATAAAACTAAACAGTAGGGTTTCTCAAAATCGAATCAAATCAAATATTTAAGCAATTTGCATTTGATTTAATTTTCTAACTTCCTACCATTTCAATATTTACAAACTATCCTATTTATATAAAATAATTTACATAGAAAGATAAACTAATATATTATATATGTCTAATAAATCAAATATATTTATTATGTCTGACCTGTCTAATATGTCCTATTTGTCAATAAAGTCAAATATATTATATATGTTAGACATGTCAGAAATGCCAGTTATATTAGTTATGTCATATATATCAAATATATAAGTTATGTAACATTTGTTTAACATTTCTAATGTTATATATAATTCATTTGCAGATCATTCAGTAGATCAATTCTGTGAATCGTTTTTGTAAATCTTCTAGTAAATCAATTTTATGAAACATGTTGATCATTTGCTGTGCCACATTTTCTTATTATAATCACTCTGTAACAGTATCTTTAAAATTTTTGAAATAATACCCAAATTTTTATAATACTTTTAAATATTCTTCAAAAATTTACATTTAAAAAGTTTAATATATATATCTAATATAAGTGGTATAGAATTATCTAATAAATTTATTATTAATAGATATTTTATATCTTTTATATTTTTAAACAATTAATAACTAAATTACAAATATTTTCCATCCATAAAAAATTAAATTTAATATAAGATTAATGAGTTTAGGCTTTAGTTTTTATGCTAAAATTTATTTTTTTCCAAATAAATCATGGTATAACATTTCAAAAAAGAAATAATATATTTGAAATAATATTTCTCTACTATTTAAAGAAATATAGAGTGGCCTAACCATAGGAATTAAACTTAAAATTTGTGATAGAATTTCAGAATTATCATTTTTAAATCTTAATGTAATAGCTCTTCTTAAATTTATTTGACCAGGCCAATCACATATTGTAGGAATTACAAAATTATTTAAATAATCTTACTTTTCTATTTTTTAAATAAAATATATTAAATACAATCAATATTTGCAGATTTTATATAATCTTTTGTATTATATAATAGATGCAAAATAAAATCTACTAATTTGCTATTTTCCATTAATCTTAATTCTTGTTGATTTTAAATACAATCATCATAATTATGAATAGAAAGAAATTTTATTTTATTTTCATAAGAATCATCAGATAAATATTGTTACTATTTTTTATTTCATTAATAATAAGTTTTACCTAATTTATTCATAAAATTAATATAAAATACCTTTAGGATTATGAATTGGAATATTATTTGATGAATAATAAGATATTTTTAAAATATTAGAATTTGAATTTAATAATATTATTATAAAATGATTAATGTCATATATATTTAATAAAGTTGGTTGATTTTGTCGATGAATATTATGATTAAAGATAGATACCATAATTAAGAAGTTGCAACTTGGTTGCAACTCCTTGTAAATTTATTTTAATATAAAAATTCAT